CAGGAGCTTTTTCTGGGTCTCCCCTGTGGGTGCAGGGGCCCAAGCACTTGGACCATCTTCTGCTGCTTTTGCAGGTTTATTAGCAGGGAGCTGGATGGGAAGTGGAGCTGCCAGGATTTGAACCAGCACCCTTATGGGATGCTGGCACTGCAGACGGTGGCTTTACTCACTATGCCACAGCACCAGCCCCATAAATAAAATCTTAAAAAAAAAAAAAAGAATTCGACCTGTGCAGACCTTCATTGCATGGATGGTGAGCTCTCACAGGTGGGCTGCAGCACCAGAGGACAAGTGCATCCGTACTTGTGATAGGTGTTGCTGAATTGCTGTACATCATGAGTACACTCGTCTCCATTCTCGACAGTAATTCCAAGGTGCCTGTTTGTCCACAGACATGTACCTGGAGAACAGTAAAAGCTTTGAAAGATCGGCTGATCTCATAGGTGATAATGACTTCTCCACTTAGTATGCCTGTCTATTCTGAATGAAGCTGAAAATTTGCCCCTTTTTGTGATATGCCTCTTAGTGTTCCTACCCATCTTTACTTTGAATCCTGGTCTGATTTTTTTTTTTAAATTGATTTCGAGGATTTAAACATTGAAACATTTTTGGAATTTTAAAAGCGCAGTACAGAAACAGCTCCTTTTCAGAGCGTCCGTTGGCAGTCCCCTCGGTGGCAGAGGAGCAGTGTGTCTTGCTGCTGGTTTTGCCTTTGACCCTCCGTGGAGTGTTTATGCCACGTAGAAGTTTAGATTTTAGTATATTAGAATGACTGATGCTACTGCAAAGTCGAAAAGGAATTATCTTCTAACGCATTTATGGTTTGTTTTGAATGTGTATACCATGGATCCTTTGAGACTTAATCTATGTACAGTGGATCCAAAATAATTTTTTCCAGCTGTCTGTCTAGTTGCTGCTGTATTGTTAAAGAAATACTCAGTTTCACATCGATTTGACATGCTTCCCCTATCTAAATGAACTTCAGAAAGTTCATGGAAAATGAAATTGAAAGACAAGCTTGTTTTGAAGTGCGAGCGCAGTTTCTCACCAGACACACTTTCTGTGAACTTCTGTGAGATGCAGGATTTCTGTGAACTTCTGTGTGATGCAGGATTTCTGTGAACTTCTGTGTGATGCAGGATTTCGTGTGCACCTTTCTGCCCAGCCCGCGGCTCTGCAGGTGCTGGCCTCGAGACTTTTGTATGCACTTGCCAACCTTCTGGTGCTGTGTAGTTCCCATCTGGCCTCAGTGTCCTCCCACAATCATCTTGGTATTTCTGATAATCTTCCTCTGCAGTTTGAATATTAAGAATGTGTCAGTATTTTTAAGAGTCGGGGTTTGTGTGGAGCCCTCCATGTTGGAGGTCACACTCTTCGCAGACCCAGCTGGTTCTGTGTGCGCTCTGGTTCTCCAGGGAGCCCCGGCATTGTGCAGTATCTGTCAGACATCTTACTTGTTTAATTTTTGTAAATGGGGTTGCTTCTTCCACACTACGTTGTAATTGCTATTGTAGTATATAGGACAATTCTTAAAGCCTGAATTCACTGTGTCTCTAAATTCACTTAGTGTTCGTGGTACTTCTTCAGTTAATTTTATTATGTTGAAGGTCAGTACTGATATAATCTAGGAAGATGGCAGTTTTACTTGCTCCTCTTCAACTCCTTGTATATCTAATCTCTTTCATTTATCTGATTCTGTTTTTTAGTATAGGGCAGGCTTGCGTTCCTGATTAAGAGGCAGTGTTTTCAGTGGATCTTCATTTTACATGATGCTGTTTTGTTTTTTTTCCTGGCTGTGATACATGTCATGTTAAGGAAGCATCCTTCTACTTCTGCTCCACTTTATTGTTTCCAAATCAAAAACACTTATTGAGGAAGTGGGCATTGAGCCTTGCAGTTAAGATGCCCCATCCCCCCCTAGGATCCCTGGGTTTGATACCCAGCTCCTGGCTCCAGCTTCCTGCCATTGTAGCCCCTGGGAGGCAGCGGTGATGACTAACACAGGATCCTGCCACGCACGTGGGAGACCCGTGCTGAGTCCTGGGGTCTGCTAGGGTCCTGCCTCTGCGCAGCTGCAGCCATTATAAGCAGCTGGGGAGTGACCAGTGGTGGGAACATGATCTGTCGGTCTCTCTAAGGGAACCTGCAGATCGAAGATCTGTCTCTGACTCCAAATTAAGATAAACATTTTTTAAAAGCAAGTATAATTTATAAAGCGAGCACCAATTTTCTGAGTGTGTACTGGAGGCCTGTGTTGCGGCACGGTGGGTTAGGCTGCCCTGGAATGCTAGCATCCGTATCCGGGTACTGGTTCCCATTCCAGCTGCTCTGCTTCCGATCCAGCTCCATGCTGATGTGCCTGGGGAAGTGATGGATGATGGCCCCTGCCACCCACACAGGAGACCCAGGTGGAGTGCCTGGCTCCTGACTGGCCTGTCCTAGCCCTGACTACTGTCGGCATTTGAGGAGTGAAGCAGTAGTTGGACGATCTCTCTGTCTTGATCCTGCTGTCTCACTCTCTTTGTGTCACTCTGCCTTTCAAATAAGTATGTCTTTAAAAATTTGTGTTTAAAAAACATTGATTGAATTTTATCAAACTATGTGATTTTTTTATTTTATTTTATTTTTTTTTTATTTTTGACAGGCAGAGTGGACAGTGAGAGAGAGAGATACAGAGAGAAAGGTCTTCCTTTGCCATTGGTTCACCCTCCAATGGCCACCGTGGCCGGCGCGCTGCGTCCAGCGCACCGCGCTGATCCGATGGCAGGAGCCAGGAGCCAGGTGCTTTTCCTGGTCTCCCATGGGGTGCAGGGCCCAAGCACCTGGGCCATCCTCCACTGCACTCCCTGGCCATAGCAGAGAGCTGGCCTGGAAGAGGGGCAACCGGGACAGAATCTGGCGCCCTGACCGGGACTAGAACCCGGTGTGCCGGCGCCGCAAGGTGGAGGATTAGCCTATTGAGCCACGGCGCCGGCCAAACTATGTGATTTTACAAATTTATGTAGATGATTGTGATGAATAACAGAAATGTATTCCTAATTTGAACCATACTTCCCATCCTGTGATAAACGCCACCTGGTCACGTGTTCTCTTCACATGTTCCCGGATTCCTTTTTCTTTCTTTTTTAAGATTTATTTTGTTTACTTGAAAGAGTTACAGAGAGAGAGAGAGGTCCTCCATCCGCTGGTTCACTCCCCAGTTGTCCACAACAGCTGGAGCTGTGTTGATCTGAAGCCAGGAGCTTCCTCCTAGTCTCCCTCGCTGGTGCAGGGGCCCAAGGTGTTGGGCCATCTTCTGCTTTCCCAGGCCATAGCAGAGAGCTGGATCAGAAATGGAACAGCAGGGACTAGAACTGGCGCCCGTATGGGATTCCGACGCTTCAGGCCAGGGCGTTAACCCACTGTGCCACAGCGTGGGCCCCTCCCGGATTTCTTTTGCTGGTTCGGTTTCTAACTTCACCCTTGATGTTTCCATAGGAGCTTGTCCTGTTGTTATTTTTGTTTGTTTGGTTCTGGTACTGTCTCTGTCAGGCTTTGCTGAAAGTTCACACTACTCACATAAATGTGATTGGGTGTTTCGTGTTCTCGTATTGAGGGCAAGTTCTGTAACACTGGCATCCTCTGCTCTTCCCAGGAGGCAGGTCCGGCATGGGAGCCTCTGTCCTGCTGCTCTGACCTCTGTCCGTATTGGTAGCATTTTTTGTTTAATTTGGTTCACTATGTTTGCCCTGATAATGATCTCCATTGGAAGTTCTTTTTCTTTGAGTGTTTTCAGGCTTTGGAGCTTGGGATCTTCCTGTTCACACCCTCACCACCATACTGGTTGTGTCACCTGACTCTAGGTCACAGCCTCTGTTGCGCACCTGCCTGTAGTGTTTACTCCAACCATAAATGCAGGGCTGCTAGGTTAAGTTCACGTTTTTTTTTGTTTTGTTTTGTTTTGTTTGGACAGGCAGAGTGGACAGTGAGAGAGAGAGACAGAGAGAAAGGTCTTCCTTTGCCGTTGGTTCACCCGCCAATGGCCAAGTTCACGTCTTAAGGTCTCCACTGTTTGTCCATTCCACTTGGTGTACTCAGAAGTTGGGATGTTGCGGGCATATAGAGAAGGGGGCAGGCAAAGCCCTGCTCTCCCGGGGCTCAGGTGTTCCTGAGTGGCATCGGATAGCAAATGCACACACACCAGGCAGTGAGGAGCACTGGGAAGAGAAGTGAGGCAGGACAAAGGTTCTGTGAGGTGGGTGATGGAAGGGGGACTGAGCCCTGAGGTGCTGGATGAGGGTGCCCTCAGGTAGAAGGTCCTGAGGTTGGGCTCAGCTTGTCCAGTGGAGAAACAACAAAGCCAGCAGGCGTGGCGCCCTTGGGGCCCTGGGGCGGAAGTGGAGAGATTGGGCTGTTGTCAGAGTGTGAGCTCCGCAGGTGCCTGGGGTCAGGTGGGGCCTTGGAGACCGCTGTGAGGGCTTGCCTGTTTGTTGAGAGACATTAGTTTCGCGTTCCAGGAGAGTGATGTGACCCAGCCTTCTCTTAAAAAGAACTGCGTGAGTCCAGCGGGGAGAGAGAACACTAGCTCGTGGGTGCATGGATGAAACGTGCGGAAAGCTGTTTGTTTAGGCGACACCTTGAAGGTTGGGCTCCAGGGCTTGCAGGTGAGGGCAGGGCTGGCTGGAGAGTTCTCAGCGGGGAGCATGAGAGCCTGCACCCAGGGAGCAGCCGTCACGGGACCGGCCTTGGTTGGCGGAGGCTGTCTGTGAGCAGTGGGTCCTAGGTTCAGAAGAAAGGCCTGTCCCGTGAAGACTCCTGTGAGAGGACACGGAATCCCTCGCGCCTGCATCTGGTGGCTCAGCGTTCCCCTCCGAGGACTGTTGCTGACTGTCCCTCGGTGCCGGTGTTCCTGGGGCGCCTCCCAGAGCGCGGGGCGGGGACAGTGGCCGTGTGGGGACCCGGTGCGTGCAGCTTCTGGGCCTCAGCCGGGGCTGGCAACAGTTCCTCTTCTGCATTTTCAGATGGGAGCATTTAAAGCGCACGATGGGGAGTACTTCCTGGAGCCGCTGGTGAATGCGGACGGCAGTGAGCCCCAGGACTCGCACAACAAGCCGCACCTCATCTACAGGCGGGACGCGGGGAGGACACCACTGCCGCCACGCAGGCCGTGCGGCGTCGCAGGTAAGCAAGCACCGGGGCGCCTCCGGGACGCCGTGGCAGCCTCCTCGCGGGTTCCCCTAATTGTTTGTTATTTGTTTGCTTTTATTAACTTGACAAAAACTGTGTGCATTTGTGCTGGCCAGCTTGTAGCTGTGACGTGTACAGTGTGGAATGGCTGAATCAGTTGACGTGTGCGTTACTTCACATGCTTGTTGGTGGTGAGAGCTCTTGAAATCTGCTCTTGGCAGTTTGGAGGAACGCGTTGCTTTGCTGTTAACCGTGGTCCCTCGCATGCCCCGTAGATCTCTGAAGTTCATTCCTGCAATGCAGCTGAAACTCGCCCTGCTCCCCAGCCCCAGGGAACCACTGTTAAGCCCTGTACTTGCACTGAGTTCTGTATTTTTAGATTCTATGTATGAATTAGATCAAGTGGTATTTGTTGTGTATGATGTACTAAACAGTTTTTTTTTTTTTTTTACTTTTTAGAGATCTTTTAGAGATTACTTGTTGATGGGTAACTTGACTATAATAAACTAAATTTGAATCCAGAAGGGTTTTCTATGAGCTCTGTAACATCATCACAGAACATTTTTACCGTAATCTGTTGGTTTACACTAGTACTATTTACTTTTCCCCTGGCAGAATTATAGATTAAAAGCAAAAATGCAAAAGCTGAATCCCAGTGAGGACGACCCTGCTCTTTCGGCTGGTTCCATCTTGTGTAGCTGGAAAAGTAAAGATATGCCTGAGGCTTCCCCTGCCTTTTCCTCTTCTCTCAGCTTTGCTTCTCGTTCCACCTGCCCTGTGCATGTAGCAACCATCATTCGTCTTCACTGCTTACAGAATTTCGTCGTCTGAGTGTATCACGGTTCATACACCTGTTCTGTTGGTGAACAGTTCTGTCTGCTGTCGGGAACAAGGTTGCTGTGAATTCGTGTTTGAGTTTTAGGGCGTGTGCACATAGATACTAGATAATTCCATACTGTCTTACAAAGCAGTTTCTGTCATTTTATGATTCCATCAATCTGTGAAAGGTAGTTTTTTTTTTTTAACCTAAAAATCTTTTATTTAAGGTGTACAAACTTCATGCACTTCATACATACAACTTTAGGAACACAGTGATTATTCTCACCATACTCCCATCAGCACTGCCACCCTTCTTCCTCCTCCCTGTCCTATTCCCATTCTTACTTTTTCTCTGATATATTTTCAGTTAACTTTATACTCATAAGATTAACCCTACACTAAGAGTTCAACAAATAGTATCAAAAAGCCTGTTCCTCAACAGTTGAGACAAGGGCTGTTCAAAGCCATCGCATCTCAGTGTCAATTTCACTTGTATAGATGACTTTTTAAGTGCTTTGTTAGTTATGACAGATCAGGGAGAACATGGTATTTGTCTTTTTGGGACTGGCTTATTTCAGTAAGTGTAATGTTTTCCAATTGCATCCATTTGTTGCAAAGGATAGGATTTCTTTTTTTTCTTTTTTTTTTTTTTTACCACTGTGTAGTATTCTGTGGTGCACATATCCCATAATTTCTTTATTGAGTCTTCATCAACATCTGGGTTGATTCCATATCTTATCTGTTGTGGATGGAGCTGCAATGATAGGTATTTTAATAGTAATTTTCCCTGTAAAATTCAGACTCCTGGAGCAGAGTAGAATGCAGGAATCACAGCCTTCTACAGCGTCATCCCCCTGCTGCTGGTGGAAACCTTGCACGTGACATCAGCTTCCTGCTTGCTGGGGTCTCGTCCCCACACGACCATGAGTCCTCACTGTCGCTCTGTAGAGGGACGCTAACGATACGGGAGGAGAATGGCACCTGCCGCAGTCACCGGAGTACACAGTCGAGGCGGGAGAGGGGGCTTGGAAAGGATCCTTTGCATTGTAGGCGTCCATACACCGTAGTTCCCGGTGCGTGATGCCATCTGTTTGGGGATATACGGCCTTAGGCCTTCGAAGCTTTCCTGGGGGGCTGCACGTCCTCGCCTGCGCGCTTGTAAGAGCGCCCTTTCGGCGTGGTTGTCCCTGTGTCAAAGGCCACGTTTTCACCCTACTGGCATAATAGATGCCTTTCTTAGGCTTCTAATAGGAGCATAAGGGTTTTATTTTTGTGGCTTCAAAGGAAACATGAATGGGTCCAGGCTCGTAATGCATCCGTGCAGAAGGCGGCTGTGCTTGCTCTGATCTGCCGAGCAGTCAGCTTGCGTCGTGAACTGGGCAGCTTCTGAGAAGCAAACCCCAAGTGGGCAATCTGAATGCACGAGGGAGTCGCACGGTGACACCCAGGGCTCTGCGCTTGCAGTCAGGGCTCGTTATCAGCAAGACAGCCGATAAGAAAAGCCAGGCCTTTTGTTTAAGAAACTTAGAGAAAGTGGCTGGCGCCGCGGCTCACTAGGCTAATCCTCCGCCTTGCGGCGCCGGCACACCAGGTTCTAGTCCCGGTTGGGGCGCCGGATTCTGTCCTGGTTGCTCCTCTTCCAGGCCAGCTCTCTGCTGTGGCCAGGGAGTGCAGCAGAGGATGGCCCAAGTGCTTGGGCCCTGCACCCCATGGGAGACCAGGAGAAGTACCTGGCTCCTGCCTTCGGATCAGTGCGGTGCGGTGGCCATTGGAGGGTGAACCAACGGCAAAAGGAAGACCTTTCTCTCTGTCTCTCTCTCTGTCACTGTCCACTCTGCCTGTCAAAAAAAAAAAAAAAAAAGAAAAAAAAACAAAACCAACAACAACAAAAAGAAACTTAGAGAAAGTACAAGCAGAAAGCCAGTGCAAAGCTTTGGGTTAGTTTTCCTTCAGTTGAGTATATATTTTTCTGTATTTACCTACTAAGTTGTAAATGGTGGTATCCATTATTTTCAACTCTTTTTTAAAATTACCTTCATCTTTAGATACAACTTATATGTGTGTGTGTGTGTGTGTGTGTGTGTATATAATCACTAATAAAGGCATTTAATTAAATTGCCTGAAAATCAGCTACTCATCACAATTTTGTTGGTCAAAGTGAAGAGTGGTGAATATAATTAGTGAAATGTGATGAGAGGTTTTTCCTCTCCCTTTGTTGATCAGAAAGACTTGCAAAGTCCTCGGCCAGTGTGTCCTCATGGGCCTGTTCTCATGGGCAAGTGTGTCCTTGTGGGCTAGTGTCTGTTCTCACAGGCAGGTGTGTCCTCGTGGGTGAATGTGTTCTCATGGAGAGTGTTCTCTCATGGGTGAGTGTGTCTACACAAGTGAGTGTGTCCTCATCGGTGAGCATGTCCTCGTGGGTGAGAGTGTCCTCGTGGGTGAGAGTGTCCTCGTGGGTGAGCGTGTCCTCGTGGGTGAGCGTGTTCTCATGAGTGAGCATGTCCTCGTGGGTGAGTGTGTCCTCGTGGGTGAGCGTGTCTGCATGGGTGAGTGTGTTCTCATGGGTGAGCGTGTCCTCGTGGCTGAGTGTGTCCTTGTGGGTGAGCATGTCCTTGTGGGTGAGCGTGTCCTTATGGGTGAGCGTGTTCTCACAGGTGAGCTTGTCCTCGTGGGTGAGCGTGTCTTCATGGGTGAGCATGTCCTCGTGGGTGAGCGTGTCTGCATGGGTGAGAGTGTCCTCGTGGGTGAGAGTGTCCTCATGGGTGAGCGTGTCCTCGTGGATGAGCGTGTCCTCGTGGGTGAGTGTGTCCTCGTGGGTGAGCGTGTCTGCATGGGTGAGCGTATCTGCATGGGTGAGTGTGTTCTCATGGGTGAGCGTGTCCTCGTGGCTGAGTGTGTCCTTGTGGGTGAGCATATCCTCATCGGTGAGCTTGTCCTCGTGGGTGAGCGTGTCCTTGTGGGTGAGCGTGTCCTCGTGGCTGAGCGTGTCCTTGTGGGTGAGTGTGTCCTCATGGGTGGAGCCTGTCCTTATGGGTGAGCATGTTTTTGTGGGGGAAGCGTGTTCTCGTGGGTGAGCGTGTCCTCGTGGGTGAGCGTGTCCTCATGGGTGAGCGTGTCCTTGTGGGTGAGCGTGTCCTTGTGGGTGAGCGTGTCCTCGTGGCTGAGTGTGTCCTTGTGGATGAGAGTGTCCTCATGGGTGGAGCCTGTCTTTATGGGTGAGCATGTTTTTGTGGGGGAAGAGTGTTCTCACAGGTGAGCGTTTCCTCGTGGGTGAGCGTGTCCTCATGGGTGAGTGTGTCCTCGTGGGTGAGTGTATCCTCATGGGTGAGCGTGTCCTTGTGGGTGAGCATGTTTCCGTGGGTGGATGGCTCAGGAGAAGCCATCCTTAAGTAGGTGGACTACTGATTGATCACATGGACCCCATTGATTAAATGGAAAAGGAAAACTGACTTCTTTTGGTTATGTTTCTGTTTATGACTTAAATTTGTTATGACCTTAACATGTTACAGTTCCTGGTAGCTTCAGTATTGATAAACTAAATAGAGTAGTCCTGGGTTTAGAATTTGCTGTGAGCCTCAGACCATACAAATTACCGTTGGTAGTGCAACCCTTGTAGATGCCACACTCTCAGATGTAGCCTAAGTAAAGTCCAGTGGAAAACAGCAAAGCAAAGTCAACGAAAACCCCTAAGATGAACAGACACCAAAGGAAACATCGTCCGCCAGTGAAATGAAAATAAAATAAATCAAGGCCAAGCGGAGGGGAGCCCTGGGAAGGTAGGAACAGGCAGCTCTGTGGACTCTGCACGCGTTGTCCAAGGCAGAGCAGAGCTGGCCCTGTCCTCCCGAGGCGCAGTCAGCCTTCCTGGCTCTGTGTGCCGGGTGGAAATGCAGTGAAGCAGTGGACCAGAACAGGGTGTCTCAGGGGGCTCTCGGGTGACTGAAGCCTGCTTCCAACGTCTGTGCCATCCCTGAGCTTTTCTAAATGCCCTTGGTCTTGGGGTCTTTGGGTCAGTACGTAGGAGATCTGCACAGGTTGGTTAGAATGGGGCATGGGGCCGAGGGGAGTGGCCCTGGCCTCAGCGGCGTCCTGCTGAGTGTGAGGTCCCTGTTCACTGTTGCAGGAGATGTGGTGCAGGTGTGGGGGGAACGTGGTCTAAGAGACTTGAAGGGTTT